GTTTGCAAAATGTAGATTAAATATAGATCAAAATTAAAGGGCAGAGAAGAAAAACGTATGTTTTAAAAATATAATTAAGAAAACTTGATAAAGTATCAATTTTTGTGTATAACTTTAAATATTTAAGATGATTTATATTTAAAGTCAGATTAACACTTTACGGGCCATCAAGTGCCGTCATGTAAGAATATCAGTCTTATCAACATTTATATATGTTATCTATATTGTCTATAATATACAGAATAAACTTGGTATAAGAAGTAAGAGAAATTGACTAATCACAGTTGAATGTGAACAGAATAATCGACTGATCTATTCCTGAATATTTCTTATTCTTAATTCTTGAACTAGTTCTACATTAGTCACATCGCAGCATCACAAGTGTTGCGATTCAATCAACATCAAGTTAGCTCGACTCTAATTGGACCGCATTGCTTGCGACACACTTGCGACGCTTCGATACAACTAATATAGAATCAGCATTACACCAAGTTTACTCCTCATATTATATTATAGACGACATTATTCAACAAACACATAGTTATATGTAACATACCTGTTGTAATTTCCCACTTAATAATATAACTATAATGACACGTTATATATAACCTTGTGTTTGCTAAGAATACATAATATAGCTAATATTACATCTATTAGTATTGTACATTATTGATGTTATTGTATTTAATTGTTATACGAATATAAGCGAAATGTGTTGCTTTACAGAAACAATTATATATAAATAATTAAACACAAGATTCATTTCGTATTACAGCCATTTGTTATAATCAATTGGTGTAATAATATATACGCAGACTGCAAAATGTTAACGTTGTAATTTAAAGCAAAATTACTGCAGGAGTTTTCTTGTCCACATTGAATGTATTTTTGAAATCAGTTTCCTGATCCTTCTTTAAAGGACATTTGACTCCGGAATCTGGATCTTTGCACACGTTAGAATTTTTCAGAGGAAAAGGTATAGGCACATCGAGCAACACACCAAACGCATGTGCTGTGATGTCCGAGATATCTTTGTCTGTGCAAAAAAATGTATTAATATA